GGTACGTGGCGAGGTGTCAGAGTGGGCACCTGTGACCAGCGGGGTCCCACAGGGGTCAGTCCTAGGACCAGTGCTGTTTCTGGTATTTGTGAACGACATGATGGAAGGAATAGACTCCGAAGTGTCCCTGTTTGCAGATGACGTGAATTTGATGAGAAGAATCCAATCGAATGAGGACCACGCAGGACTACAAAGCGATCTAGATGGGCTGCAAGCCTCGTTCAGCAACTGGTTTCTGGAGTTCAACTCCCACCAAGTGCAAATTAATGAAGATTGAGGAAGGGCAAACAAGACCGCTGACGGAGTACAGTCTAGAGGACCAGAGACTACAAACCTCACTCATGAAAAAGGAACTTGGGGTGAGTATAACACCGGGGACATCTCCTGAGGCGCACATCAACCAAATAACTGCTGCAGCATATGGGCGCCTAGCAAACCTCAGAACAGCATTACGACATCTTAATAAGGAATCATTCAGGACCATGTACACTGTGTACGTTAGGCCCATATTGGAGTATGCAGCACCAGTTTGGAACCCACACCTAGCCAAACATGTAAGGAAACTAGAGAAAGTGCAAAGGTTTGCAACAAGACTAGTCCCAGAGCTAAGGTGTATGTCCTACGAGGAGAGGTTAAGGGATATTGACCTGACGACACTGGAGGACAGGAGAGATAGAGGGGATATGATAACGTGTCGTATGAGGCGACTAAAATGCCGGGAGCAATGGGCTAGTAACCCCTTCTCCTGTATACAATTACTAAAAAAGAGAAGAAGAAAAACTTTATAAAACTGGGTTGCTTAAATGTGCGTGGATGTAGTGCGGATGACAAGAAACAGATGATTGCTGATGTTATGAATGAAAAGAAGTTGGATGTCCTGGCCCTAAGCGAAACAAAGCTGAGGGGGTAGGAGAGTTTCAGTGGGGGGAAATAAATGGGATTAAATCTGGAGTATCTGAGAGAGTTAGAGCAAAGGAAGGGGTAGCAGTAATGTTAAATGATCAGTTATGGAAGGAGAAAAGAGAATATGAATGTGTAAATTCAAGAATTATGTGGATTAAAGTAAAGGTTGGATGCGAGAAGTGGGTCATAATAAGCGTGTATGCACCTGGAGAAGAGAGGAATGCAGAGGAGAGAGAGAGATTTTGGAGGATGTTTAAGTGAATGTATAGGAGCCTTTGAACCAAGTGAGAGAGTAATTGTGGTAGGGGACTTGAATGCTAAAGTAGGAGAAACTTTTAGAGATGGTGTGGTAGGTAAGTTTGGGGTGCCAGGTGTAAATGATAATGGGAGCCCTTTGATTGAACTTTGTATAGAAAGGGGTTTAGTTATAGGTAATACATATTTTAAGAAAGAGGATAAATAAGTATACACGATATGATGTAGGGCGAAATGACAGTAGTTTGTTGGATTATGTATTGGTAGATAAAAGACTGTTGAGTAGACTTCAGGATGTACATGTTTATAGAGGGGCCACAGATATATCAGATCACTTTCTAGTTGTAGCTACACTGAGAGTAAAAGGTAGATGGGATACAAGGAGAATAGAAGCATCAGGGAAGAGAGAGGTGAAGGTTTATAAACTAAAAGAGGAGGCAGTTAGGGTAAGATATAAACAGCTATTGGAGGATAGATGGGCTAATGAGAGCATAGGCAATGGGGTCGAAGAGGTATGGGGTAGGTTTAAAAATGTAGTGTTAGAGTGTTCAGCAGAAGTTTGTGGTTACAGGAAAGTGGGTGCAGGAGGGAAGAGGAGCGATTGGTGGAATGATGATGTAAAGAGAGTAGTAAGGGAGAAAAAGTTAGCATATGAGAAGTTTTTACAAAGTAGAAGTGATGCAAGGAGGAAGAGTATATGGAGAAAAAGAGAGAGGTTAAGAGAGTGGTGAAGCAATGTAAAAAGAGAGCAAATGAGAGAGTGGGTGAGATGTTATCAACAAATTTTGTTGAAAATAAGAAAAAGTTTTGGAGTGAGATTAACAAGTTAAGAAAGCCTAGAGAACAAATTGATTTGTCAGTTAAAAATAGGAGAGGAGAGTTATTAAATGGAGAGTTAGAGGTATTGGGAAGATGGAAGGAATATTTTGAGGAATTGTTAAATGTTGATGAAGATAGGGAAGCTGTGATTTCGTGTATAGGGCAAGGAGGAATAACATCTTGTAGGAGTGAGGAAGAGCCAGTTGTGAGTGTGGGGGAAGTTCGTGAGGCAGTAGGTAAAATGAAAGGGGGTAAGGCAGCCGGGATTGATGGGATAAAGATAGAAATGTTAAAAGCAGGTGGGGATATAGTTTTGGAGTGGTTGGTGCAATTATTTAATAAATGTATGGAAGAGGGTAAGGTACCTAGGATTGGCAGAGAGCATGCTAGTTCCTTTGTATAAAGGCAAAGGGATAAAAGAGAGTGCAAAAACTATAGGGGGATAAGTCTGTTGAGTGTACCTGGTAAAGTGTATGGTAGAGTTATAATTGAAAGAATTAAGAGTAAGACGGAGAATAGGATAGCAGATGAACAAGGAGGCTTTAGGAAAGGTAGGGGGTGTGTGGACCAGGTGTTTACAGTGAAACATATAAGTGAACAGTATTTAGATAAGGCTAAAGAGGTCTTTGTGGCATTTATGGATTTGGAAAAGGCGTATGACAGGGTGGATAGGGGGGCAATGTGGCAGATGTTGCAAGTGTATGGTGTAGGAGGTAGGTTACTGAAAGCAGTGAAGAGTTTTTACGAGGATAGTGAGGCTCAAGTTAGAGTATGTAGGAAAGAGGGAAATTTTTTCCCAGTAAAAGTAGGCCTTAGACAAGGATGTGTGATGTCACCGTGGTTGTTTAATATATTTATAGATGGGGTTGTAAGAGAAGTAAATGCGAGGGTCTTGGCAAGAGGCGTGGAGTTAAAAGATAAAGAATCACACACAAAGTGGGAGTTGTCACAGCTTCTCTTTGCTGATGACACTGTGCTCTTGGAGATTCTGAAGAGAAGTTGCAGAGATTGGTGGATGAATTTGGTAGGGTGTGCAAAAGAAGAAAATTAAAGGTGAATACAGGAAAGAGTAAGGTTATGAGGATAACAAAAAGATTAGGTGATGAAAGATTGAATATCAGATTGGAGGGAGAGAGTATGGAGGAGGTGAACGTATTCAGATATTTGGGAGTGGACGTGTCAGCGGATGGGTCTATGAAAGATGAGGTGAATCATAGAATTGATGAGGGAAAAAAGAGTGAGTGGTGCACTTAGGAGTCTGTGGAGACAAAGAACTTTGTCCTTGGAGGCAAAGAGGGGAATGTATGAGAGTATAGTTTTACCAACGCTCTTATATGGGTGTGAAGCGTGGGTGATGAATGTTGCAGCGAGGAGAAGGCTGGAGGCAGTGGAGATGTCATGTCTGAGGGCAATGTGTGGTGTGAATATAATGCAGAGAATTAGTAGTTTGGAAGTTAGGAGGAGGTGCGGGATTACCAAAACTGTTGTCCAGAGGGCTGAGGAAGGGTTGTTGAGGTGGTTCGGACATGTAGAGAGAATGGAGCGAAACAGAATGACTTCAAGAGTGTATCAGTCTGTAGTGGAAGGAAGGCGGGGTAGGGGTCGGCCTGGGAAGGGTTGGAGGGAGGGGTAAAGGAGGTTTTGTGTGCGAGGGGCTTGGACTTCCAGCAGGCATGCGTGAGCGTGTTTGATAGGAGTGAATGGAGACAAATGGTTTTTAATACTTGACGTGCTGTTGGAGTGTGAGCAAAGTAACATTTATGAAGGGATTCAGGGAAACCGGCAGGCCGGACTTGAGTTCTGGAGATGGGAAGTACAGTGTCTGCACTCTGAAGGATGGGTGTTAATGTTGCAGTTTAAAAACTGTAGTGTAAAGCACCCTTCTGGCAAGACAGTGATGGAGTGAATGATGGTGAAAGTTTTTCTTTTTCGGGCCACCCTGCCTTGGTGGGAATCGGCCAGTGTGATAATAATAATAATATAAAATACTGAGAGGAATGGACAAGGTGGACAGAGACAGTATGTTCCAGAGATGGGACACAGCAACAAGGGGACACAGTTGGCAGTTGAAGACCTAGATGAATCACAGGGTTGTTAGGAAGTATTTCTTCAGTCACAGAATTGTCAGGAAATGGAATAGTCTGGGAAGTGATGTAGTGGAGACAGGATCCATGTATTGCTTTAAGAAGAGGTATGATAAAGCTCATGGCGCAGGAAGAGTGGCCTAGTAGCTGCCAGTGAAAAGGCGGGGGCAGGAGCTGTGAATCGACCCCTGCAACCACAACTAGGTGAGTACAACAGTGAGGTAAGCCTCAGGTAGGCCTATTGGCCTATACGAGGCAGCGCCTGTTGAACCCTCACTCAGACAGATGATAAAAGACAAACGTAACCATTTCTACATTTCTCATAATGTCAACTCACAGACACATATTTATTGATAATAGATGATTAATAGCAAAAAAAATATATAAAATTATATTGCAAAAAAAATTGTATACAGAATTTTCATATATTTTCTGTAGATTGAACAAGAGTGTAAAGAAGAAGTTAGGTTGGTTACTGGGGGTTTAAGAAACCACTGACTACACTAGGGTCAATAAGGCTACACGTAATCTGACCACCAGACAAGAATATTTCAATCCCTACAACAGGGACTGAAATAAACTCTTCACATATATATGTTAAAAGAAGTGGACCTCAGTATGTATAAATCCCGTAATCTTATAGTCACAATAATTTACACTTACTGAGGACTTGAATAGACTCTACGAGGTTACTGTTACCATTACTTCCTCCATTAATAATTCTCTTGCACTGATCAAGAAAGCCCTTCTGATGTCACTAGAATTGTTCCCAAATGAATTTCTTCAAAGCAGACCACAGATTCTTAGTATAATACGTCAGTGGTAATGTGTTTAGAAAAAAAAATACGAAATTATCACAACTGAAAATTGTATTAAATTTTGTTTTTGGCACTAAGAATTCATTAACACACGTTATAATCAGTATAATCCTGCCCTCACCTTCCTCCCGTCAGAGGTAGAGTCAGCCACTGAAGTGAGACTTTGGCAGTGGTTTCACCCCTTAATTCCCCTCCTGTGACGTCACTCCCTCCCTTCTCCTCCCCTCGGCTTGTTTACATCTGAGAATAAGAGGTCCGGGACACCCTCATCTTGTGCTCTTCCTCCCTCTGAGTCATTGTTTATACTCGCCCTCCAGCTTGTGTTGAAGTGCTTAACACATAACTGTGCTGACATAAATGCGATGACACACAGCTTTCTTAACCCACCACCACAATCCTATAATCCGACCTGCTTGACTACTTTGGACCATCATAGGTGCCCATAACACTTGTATACCCATAGCACCTGTGAGCCCATGGGAATGGGTGGGATAATGGAGTTGTAGAACCTTTTCACCACCAAATAAGAATATTTTATTCCTTAGTTTAGGGATTAAAGTAAACTCTCAGCATATATACGCTGAGAAAAATACACCCCTTGGTGAATATAACCTGTATATGTGTATACCCAGAATATCTGCATGCCCTCAACACCCTCGTAAAAATTTCTGTATGTTAGTATGGATTTTATAAATAAAAACACACTTACTTAGATATCAGGTTCTCCTGACTGAGCTAAACTAAGGTAAAGCTATATTTTGCATTATTAATATCTTAATATTAGCGAGGGTACTTCAATCAATCCTAGGTACTAGAGGTACCCTGTCCATACTTACATCATCCCTGGTTACTTCTCATTCAGTAGGAGCTGTATGATTACTGCTTGTAAATAATAATAATAATTGCATAAATTAACGAGGCATATTGAGTCAGAAAACAAACTCACTATTTGCAAGACGCGTTGATTATGAATAATTATGAAAGAAATGGTTATAATCGTAACTATAGTGTTTAAAGGGGTGGACTAATAAGCTAGTGGAAAGTCTATCAGATGACCAAAAGCGCCAGTGGTGGATAATGATGTGATTTTCTTAGTCCAAAGGCCACTTTGGGGGAATGTTATTAACAAAGGGTGTTTATTATTTATATTAGAAGACCGACTATCTTAGGACTACACCATCTTCACCTTGGAGTCCTTCATTCTTGTGTCTCCCATAGCTGTAATAAGGTGAAACGTGCAAGGGTCATATATGCACATTAACGTCACATGATCTACTATCACACAAGTGTATCTCACGTGCTGAGATCAGGTGATTTACCTGGTGTGGGTTGATCGTCCACTTATCACGGCGTTCCAAAGGCAAATGTCCTATGTCCTACAACAGACCGTGATTGGATTACTGCACCGCCCTTATAATTTCCGGACTTGTATTAAAGACTGGACTTACCTTAGCTCTTGTCAATTTGAGCTGTAACACTACCGTGTCTTGGACGCCGATATCCGATGACTTGATTGAAGATACGTCGTCTGTTCCCCCGAATATTCACAGGGGACGTCCCAACGTCTGTTCGTTTTTTAGTGACGTTGAACATTGTCTATAGAATAATGTGAGAAATTATGTGTATGAAGCTTACAGGCACAACCCTGAATTATTACACATACATAATTTGGGGAGGACACAGCTAAAACAGACATAACACTTATCGATATTAGTTGTACCTCGGAGACGGGTAGGATTTTAGGGACACGGTCACAATAGTATCCCTCCTTCGATACCCACCCACTCATCCCACACTCACATAAGCTGAAATTTTAATTATGAATTATTAAATTTAAACCAGTAACACTGGCAAAGTATGTTTGTGGACTGTATATGAATTATTAATGACTTGATTTTACTAGTGATTTGGTCCACAAAATATACACATTTATAGGAGAATGTATATAGAGAATGTGCATAAATTACATATATCCATTTTACATTGCATAATAAGTGCATCATTATAAATACAAAATTATAATGAACACTTAACCAGATATTTCTTGGGTCTCACATCCTGTGCGCGGTGTCAAAGGATTACAGAGGTACGTAATGGGTCCAGGGACTGGACTCCAAAGTTTTGATAGCTGGACAGATGTACTAATATTGGTTAATATAGCAATCTACTGTAAAACTAAGTGTGAAGCTTACATAGATGAGGTGCCACGTTTCCAGACGCCGCCGCATCTCTTTATATTCCAAATATCAGCTTTATTATAGCTGAGTCACAACTATAGGAGTCCACTTATTTCATGGTCGTCCATTCACGCCGATACATTCCTTATCGAACGTGATTAAAAGAGATTTTCCTCTACAACACTCTCCAATTGTTATAAACTACGCCATATTTCGACGCAACTCTCCATCCTGTCTGTTGGTTCTCTTATGACTTGAAACCTTTCCAAAAGCCACATCAACACCACATTTTATAAACACTCTAGTATTATTCAGTTTTTACACTCTTATTTCAGGAAAATTATAAAAAAATTCCACAACTGTGGAGAGTTGGTCACATATACCAGCGTTGTAGGTCACTTTACATGTTACGACTGTAGAACACACAATACAATCGTTGACTAGGATGGATAATGAGAACTTTCAAAACGATCGTTTTCAAATCACTTGTTCTCTCTAGGCTGGAATACTGCTGTACATTAACATCTCCATACAAAGCAGGTGAAATCGCAGATCTAGAGAGTGTACAGAGATCCTTTACTGCACGTATAAGTTCTGTCAAGCACCTTAACTACTGGGAACGCTTGGAAGCACTTGACTTGTACTCGTTGGAACGCAGGAGGGAGAGATATATCATAATCTACACTTGGAAAATCTTGGAAGGAATGGTCCCAAATCTGCACACAGAAATCACTCCCTACGAAAGTAAAAGACTGGGCAGGCGATGCAAAATGCCGCCAATAAAAAGTAGGGGCGCCATTGGTACACTAAGAAAACACCATAAGTGTCCGGGGCCCAAAACTGTTCAACAGCCTCCCATCAAGCATTAGGGGAATTGCCAATAAACCCCTGGCTGCCTTCAAGAGAGAGCTGGACAGATACCTAAAGTCGGTGCCGGATTAGCCGGGCTGTGGCTCGTACGTCGGACTGCGTGCGGCCTGCAGTAACAGCCTAGTTGATCAGGCCCTGATCCATCGGGAGGCCTGGTCGTGGACCGGGCCGCGGGGGCGTTGATCCCCGGAATAACCTCCAGGTAACCTCCAGGTAACTCTTCAACGTCACTAGAATTCACCATCAGAAGTTCACGACGAGTCACTCGCAAACATATATTTTTACGTCTGCGGTTAATGATGTTTCAAGTTTGAAAGTGATGTGATCTTGAGGTAGTAACTATTTCTGCAACTGCCGCCACTCAACTTGTCGCTCCACGCCCCGGGATCGAAAAATTTACTAACCTAGTGTCTAGCAATAACATCTAGTAATTTGACCCAGGCTTGTTTATGTCCCTAAGACAAAGTATTCCTTGACCCAGAGGTATCCCTAACCTATTTATCCTATTAGCTATATCATTAAGAGTTTATTACTAATTTATCTACAATGTCTTGAAATACTAGTTTCTCCCTGGGCAAACACTTTATTGTCATCCTAGTTTCTAGGAGCCAAACTAAGGCGTGTCTCGCCCACTGCCATATATGTGACTTGCTCTTGCCTTGTACTGTGGAAAGAAGAGGGATGCGATCACAACCCTTGTTCTCTTCCAGATAAAGGTAATTCTCCACAGATCATCATATGACTAAGACCAGTGTCAGGAAACGGCCTGTTTCCTGACGAATGGTACCTAACCTAACCTATATAAAGTTTGAATATATCTCTTAATGTATGAGCATTGAGAAGAACAGTACGTGTATACTTACAAGGGGATTATATATATATATATATATATATATATATATATATATATATATATATATATATATATATATATATATATATATATATATATATATATATATATACAAATGTAGGGAGTGGCAGGAGAAGAAAATATTCAAACAGCTCCGGGGAGAACCTTGAGTTTTCCCTGGGGTACGTTTATTGTCTTCTCTGAGAATGAGTTAAGAGGTAAAGAATCAAACAAAAAGTGGGAGTTGTCACAGTTGCTTTTTGCTGATGACACTGTGCTTTTGGGAGATTCTGAAGAGAAGTTGCAAAGGTTGGTGGATGAATTTGGTAGGGTATGTAAAAGAAGAAAATTAGAAGTGAATATAGGAAAGAGTAAGGTGATGAGGATAACAAAAAGATTAGGTGACGAAAGATTGGATATCAGATTGGAGGAGGTGAATGTATTCAGATATTTGGGAGTGGACGTGTCAGCGGATGGGTCTATGAAGGATGAGGTGAATCATTGGAGTGATGAGGGGAAAAGGGTGAGTGGTTAACTGAGGGGTCTGTGGAGACAAAGAACTTTGTCCTTGGAAGCAAAGAGGGGACTGTATGAGAGTATAGTTTTACCATCGCTCCTATATGGGTGTGAAGCATGGGTGATGAATGTTGCAGCGAGGAGAAGGCTGGAGGTAGTGGAGATGTCATGTCTGAGGGCAATGTGTGGTGTGAATATAATGCTGAGAATTCGTAGTTTGGAAGTTAGGAGGAGGTGCAGGATTACCAAAAATGTTGTCCAGAGGGCTGAGGAGGGGTTGCTGAGGTGGTTCGTTCATGTAGAGAGAATGGGGCGAAACAGAATGACTTCAAGAGTGTATAAATCTTAAGTGAAGGAAAGGCAGGGTAGGGGTCGGCATAGCAAAGGTTGGAGGGAGGGGGTAAAGGAGGTTTTGTGTGCGAGGGGCTTGGACTTCCAGCAAGCAAGCGTGAGCGTATTTGATAGGAGTGAATGGAGACAAATGGTTTTTAATACTTGACGTGCTGTTGGAGTGTGAGCAAAGTAACATTTATGAAGGGATTCAGGGAAACCGGCAGGCCGGACTTGAGCCCTAGAGATGGGAAGTACAGTGTCTGCACTCTGAAGGAGGGATGTTAATATGGCAGTTTTATAAACTGTAGTGTAAAGCACCTCTCTGCAAGACAGTGATGGAGTGAATGATGATAAAAGTTTTTCCTTGTCGGGCCACCCTGCCTTGGTGGGAATCGGCCGATGTGTTAATAAAATAAATAAAATAATACACACACACACACACACACACACACACACACACACACACACACACA